CCACCTATTCCCAAGGTGCCAGAGGAAGAGGAAGTCAATGAGGCGAATCGCGGCGCGCTTGCTCCGCAGGCCGCGAGCATACGTATGAAGTTGCTCTATGCCGCACGTATTTGTCGTTTTGATCTACTGCGAAGCATCAACAACCTTGCACGCAAGATCACTAAGTGGACCAAGAAGGAGGACGCTCTTCTTCACCATCTCATGGCCTATGTGCACCAGTCCAAACATCACATGATGATTGGATGGGTCGGGGACTCCTTGGAGGCCTCTTCCATCGGACTGTTTGTAGATGCGGACTATGCGGGTTGTGGAGAGCCTGAAGTCTACCTCCGGTGCCCATATGCACATTCAGGGCCCACATACAAGATTTCCCTTGGCGGGGCTGAGCAAAAGGCAGGGGTGCTTGAGTCACTCCACACCAGAGGCCGAGATTGTAGCGGCCGACTTTGCGATGTCACGTCTTGGGCTGCCAGCAATCACATTGTGGCAGCAACTTGGGGCGCAGAACCCTGACCTCGTCTTCTATGACGACAATCAGACCATGATCGGGGTGGTCCGTACCGGCAAGAATCCGACTATGCGTCATTTGGAGCGTACCCATGGCATCTGCATTGGCTGGATGCATTCCATCTTTCAGGAGGGTTACGTCTCTCTTGCCTACGAGGTCACTGCCAAGATGGCGGCGGACATACACACTAAGTCGTTCAAGGATTCCGTGTCCTGGACGCATGCGTGTCAGCTTATCAACATCTTCCCGCCGGCGCTCATTGGCTCCCAGGAAATTATGGATCTGATGCGCCCAACTCATACCCAAAGCACGGATGAGAAGGGCCAGCAACACTACTCGTTCAAGAGCGAGTGCAGGAGCTTAAGCTGGGCGTTGTGGAGGAAGCTGGAGGGTTTTCTCGGGTTGTTGGCTGTTCTCCAAACTGTTTGGTTGGATATTCTGGAGTAATATGAGGCCTTGATATTAACCACTCGTCGCAGGAATCGGAAGTAGTAGGCATCTACTCTGTCTATTTGCTTGTCTGTGAGGGTGAGGGTGTCTAGACCGTAGGTTAAGGTGGGGATAAAGACTGACTGGAATATGCGGAGTTTGGTCTTACGGGGCAAGGAGCTATTCCAAACAAGCCGGAGTTTCTTGTAGCTGGTTTCTGCTACCGCGGCTCTATGTCTAAACGCGGCTTCAAAAGGCTTTTCCCAGGCTATCATTGACCCTAGGTACTTAATTTGCGTTGTGGTCGGAACTGTTTCTCCGTTTGCGAAAGTAAGTTTGGGTTGTGGTCTGCGGGGATCCACGAGAAGTTCTGTTTTTTCTTTATTCAAATGCATCCCATGGAGCCTAGAACATCTTTCCAGCGAGTGCAAAATTTCTGAGAGTTGCGTTGTGGTCCTGGCGATAAGAAGCGTATCGTCCGCATACTCTAGATCTGAAGTGGGTCGGGTGGCCGACCAAGTGTTCCTAGCTATTCCTCTACTTGCCAGATCCCAATCAACATCTTCCAAAATGACTGTTAGCACCATGATGAACAGATACGGGCTGAGGGGACATCCCTGACGAATTCCCGCTCCTACCTTACCTTTGGCGTTGTGGTCATCAATTCCTTTGGTGATAAAGGTGGGATCCTTATAAATCGAGGAAATGACTGCTAGAGATTTGTTAGACAACCCGAAGCGCTGCAAAGCGATCAACATAGCGTTGTGGTCAAGTGAGTCGAACGCTTGTTTCCAATCCAGAAAAAGGTAATATAAGGGATTGTTGGTCATTTCCGCCCATTCCATAGATCGTCTTAAAACAAATAGTGGTTGTTGTGTCCCGCGGTGTGATCTGAAACCATACTGTGTACTGCGCAGGGTCTTCTCGTGTGTTGTGGCCAGTCTGGTTTGCAACATTGCGGCAAAGATTTTATAGATTGTGTTGAGAAGTGAGATGGGTCGATAATTGGCAGGGTCAGTGTCCTTGCCTTTGCCTTTGTAGATTGAAACCACTATGGCCTCTTTCCATTCTTCTGGAACTTCCTCTACTTCCCAGATCTTATTGTAAAATTGTAGAAGTAGTTTTTGATTGTCATCGTCTAAGAGAAGAAAGAGTTCGTTGGCGGTGTGGTCTGGTCCTGGCGCCTTGCGCTTCCTGAGCTTGTTAATCGCTGATTGGAGGTCCTCTAGTAAGAAGGGAGACTCGTCTGGTGAAGGGGGGCGTAGTGCGCGTTTTGAGTTTAATTCATTTGATCTTTCGGTGGCGTCCTCGTGTGCCGCCCATTGCGTATTCTGCAGATGGTCTCGAAAAGCCTGGTGAGTCCTGCTCCATGGGACTGGCTTATTATCCACCACAAGGTGAGATTTTTTGCCTCTAAAGCCTGCCTTCTGGCGACGTACTGTACTCCATAATCCTCTGTGTTCTGCGCTGGGGTCCTCCAGCAATTGATCGTGAACCCACTTAACTTTGTCTTTCCTTGCGTTTGAAAAGGTTTGCTTGGCCGCTTCTTTAAGGACCTCGGCGAAGGCGTCCTCCCTAATTGGCGTTGTGGTGGTTGTGACTTCTGGTTGCTGCGCTGTGGTTCCTTGGCGGTCCTTGGCTTTGCGTCCCTGATTAGAGAGCTTATCCGCTCTCTCGTTGCATTCGTTGCCTTTGTGCGCTCTGATCCAGTGGAAGGTGACACGCATGGGCGCAATTTTGCAGAGGTGTTTCGCCATGTTCACAAGCGTTTTGTTGCGCTGCGCCCGCCACTTTCCTGTGATGACGTTCTTGGACCATTGGCTATCGGTATGAATGTGAACGTTGTGGTAAAAGTGTTGGTGGGCATGGAGCAAAGCCTCCACGATAGCCCCAGTGTTATTTGAGCCGACTCCTGCTCCCCTATACGCGTTGTGGTCGGGATCTGTGATTACTGGTCCATAAGCATCTTCCCAGCCTTCTGAAGTTCGCCTACACCAACCCCATCCAGCTGAGGTGTGTTTAGAACATCTGCCCGAAGAACCCGATCCATCCGTAAAGTAGTGTATTGAAGCGGTGTGGTCCGGAGGGGGAAGGTTTCGTTCTGGGGGGTTTTCCTGTATAAGTTCTCCGAAGATGGCGAGGGGGGCGTTGTGGTTTGGCTGCTAGGCGAACCTTAATCTCCGAAACCACCAAGTAGTGATCCGTGGGAAAAACCGTGTAGAGCTTGGATCTGCATTGGTGTACAGAATTAAGCCATTGCTTCCGAACGAACAGATGATCCAACCTCTGAAAACGAAGCGGGTCAATCTGCGGTGTGGTCTTGGGTGGGGGAAGTAGGTCCGGGAGGTCCAGAAAAGATCTTACCGTAGCTGCCGTAGAAAGAGCAAGATCCTTGTCAGGGTCCAGTTTACGGTGCAGCATGGTGTAAATCTGTTGCATGGGCAGAGGGTCCAAAACAAACTGTGACCAATCCGGGGGTGGAGCTGCTTTATCTTTGTAGGTGATGTGATGTATAGGGTGAGGCGTGATCCAAGAGGCCGCCTCCACCATACCTAGAAGTTGCATGGTTCGAACACACAGCGATCTGTTGGACTGCGCGTTGTGGTCAATGAACCTAGAACCTTTACCGTACGTGAATGGACCTGTGACGCCTTCATCATTAGCGTGTTGGGCCTGAAACCTAACATTGAAATCACCTACTAGATAAACCGGTTCGGGTTGGGGAATTTTGGCAATGTGTTCCTCGAGGCTATCCCAAAATGGGACCCGCACCTCTTCATATTCCAGTCCTGAGTGTGGGGCATACGCTCCTACAATGTGAATGTTACCGCCCTTTTTCCGAAAAGTCAAATGAAGCAATCTAGTAGAAACCTGCAACACATCTAAGAGGTGTGGTCGAAGATGCGGCGCAATGATTGCACCCACTCCTGCATACCTGTCCTTTGTGTTGCCCGAAAGTATCACCAAATGCTTTTCTGACTGATACGAGTAGTAAGACGTGGTTTTAGTTTCTGATAGCATAAGAACATCAAGCTTATGCTCATGCATCATAAGAATGGCGTTCTTAAGCTTTAAGGTGTCCGCGAAACCCTGAACATTGATCGAACCTACCTTTATCTTACTATCGTACGGAAGAGGCGGTGTGGTCGGATGTTTGACCGGCTTTTTCTTTTTATTTCTTTTCAGCTGGTCCTGCGAGTGAATGTTTTGCTTGAACCATTGGGCCCTGGTAAGGGCGGCGTGTTGGGGCTGAGACGGGGCAAGGTTCCTTCACCTGTACCTTTGTACCTCCTCGCATCCAGCGGCGATACGCCCTGCGGCGCACCGCGCGTCCCGGACCCCGCTCGGAGGTTTGTGCCCGCGTCTTGTTCGGGTTAAACTCTTCGTCCCTCCCTGGGGGAGGTCCCGGCGCGCTTCGTGGAGGCGGTTTTCGGCGTGTGGTTGAATTAATTGGGAGCTGAATTCCTGAAATTAGGCGTTGTGGTCGTGGTTTCTTAGAAATCACAACAACTCCATCGCGCGTTCTGATTTTAATTCGCCTACCTGTTCGGGAGGGCTTGGGCTTGTTGGGGGTGAGAGCTTGCGTTGTGATCGGCGCATACGGACACGACCCTTCTTCTTTTGGCTGTCGGCACTGCAGCAAGAAACTTCTACTGTAACCTTGCGCTTGCGACTGGGATTCCTGAGGTCTCTGTTCCAGGAGCTTTGCAATCGAAATTGTGGTTCTGTTGCTCGGGATAAGATCCGCTAGTGAAAGGACCGTGTTACCGTTGATGATGTGCATAAGCTTATTTCGCTTTTTGGAAGTAAGCTGATTCGGGCTATCGGGTGAGCCTAGGGCGTTGTAATCGAGACCTGAGAAACATGCAAATTCGAAGAAAGGGGCGGTGTGGTCCTCCGGGATTTTCCCAAAGTACCACGAAGCCCGATTGCAGGACAAGGGCGAGCACTCAAAAATTTCAAAAGGTGCTGCAAGCTCCTTGTCGGGAAAGCTCAACCCAAAAGCCTGCAGGCAAAGGCGTTGTGGACCGAGCGGGGCCACGAAAATTCGGGAACCAAAACTTCAGGATCCTTTGCCCTTCCCACCCTTTGTCGGCGGTGTGGTCGGGGCTGGAGCGTGCGCCGGTGTGGCTGTGGAAGCCGCTGGCGTGGCGCCGAAACTTGCAAAGCGCGTGGCGGTGTGGTCGGATCGGAGCTCAGCTCCTATCCCCACTGGTGGGCGGCCCTGTACAGTGGCCACTTCGTAGTCACCCACCTTGCGGTCTTCCTTTCTGTACTTATCACAGAACTCATCCCATGAAAAATAGACCGCTTCCACAACTTGAAAATGGAGATCGAATGGATACGGAGAGTAAGCACTGGTATGCACCGCAGCCGAAGACCAGTGCCTTTTGCCCTTTCCTTTCTGAAGGCCCTTGCCAGAAAGGACTGCATCCTTTTTGGCACTCGAAAAGGCTTCGGCATCCATTCGATCAAGCTCAGCATGATTCCCCCACATCGTTTGGTACCACTGCTCTTCCCAAAGCGATGTGGTCTTGGAATCGGATTCCGAAGGTGGGCCATTCAAAATTGCGAGAAGTGCCGGAACAACCTCAAGCCTGCAAACAAACTCGCCTGCCTCCTGGCCATAGTGAAGCCTTGCCCAGGCGGTCTGGTCCTCGTGAAATTCAGCGTCTTGCTGAGGAGCCAGAAGCGTGAGGGTCTTCCACAAAATGGTGAGACGGGAGGAGGCGTTGTGTTCCGGGTGTTTGTTCACACAATTTAAAATTACACGCAGCGGCGCCTCTAGCTTGCGCTGCCACTGCGGACTGCAAGGTGCCACCTTCAGATGCTTATTGTGAATGGGGGTGCTCTCGTCCTTATAGACTGGCACCCCGGAGCTTCCACCGTAGTGGTTCAAAAAAGCAGACCGCGTGTCCCAACTTTTAAAGCTGAGAAGGGTCATGCTGGAATAGAACCCCTCCGACTGAGGCACTGTGGTCGGTTCTTGGGCGAAAACGTTCATGTGCCTTTCCAGCTCCGAGGCGTTGTGGTCGGAGCCATAGCCCCTCAGCTTCAAAAAGTTCACCAAGGAAGGAACTTGCGAAACCACCCACGAGATCATGTACACTCTTTCTGCAGGCTTCAGACCATTCGGCAAGCCTGTGGTCAAGAGCTGGAGACCACAGGCATGTTTCTGCAAAAGCCTGTTCTCCGAAGCCATCCATGCGACCTCCTTTTTGACCTGAAAGCAGCGATCATCGACGGCTTTCAGGCCCGCTTCCAGCTAGCAAACCAAAGAGTAGTACTCCGGCCGGATCACTTTTTCATGGTATGCACGAACCATGCTGAAGATCTCGGCATTGTTGGTTGGCTGCCTTTGGCCCCAGGCCTGGACGGCGTTTTGGTCGTTGATGTTGACTCCCAAGCTTCCCAAGGTAACTTCCAAGGCGGCCTGGTCCTGCAGAGAAAAAGGCGTAAGCAAATTACGCTCTTCCGGTGGCTCTGCGTGCTCCTCAGCCTCCCTCATAACCTCATCTGCCACGGAGTCTTCCTGCGGTGTGGTCAAGCCGCTTTGCACCGGAGTGGGTGCAGTACGCTTGACCCGCGGCGGGCCGAAAAAAGCGCCCTGAACCGCCTTGTACTCCGCGGTTTGATATGTAGCACGCTGCTCCAGAAACTGTTGCGTTGCCAGAGTGTTGGCGGCGAAGCCCTGCGGTGTGGATCCTGAACCAGGCTGGGACGACATGGCGGCAACGAGCCGAAGTGATACGGCCGAACCCTTTAGGTGCGGCGGTGTGGTCAGGGGGTCCTGACAAAACAACTTGCAAACATGCACTTGCAGCCGAAGCGCCTAAAAGAAGGCTTAGTGATCCAGTTTTACGACCGTGATGGGGGGTTGGTCCATACCTACAAGAATCCTTACAGTCGATGGAAATACCGAATGCCGCAAACGTTGCATTGCAGCCTAAGTCGTCCGACATGTGTACCGCAAAGCATAATCATATGAGTGATGCGGACGCCAGGGACCGATCAGACAAATGTGAGTTGACCAGTCAGATCTCCAGAAGGTTGCTCAAAGCCTTGAAATTTCAATCATCGGGCGACGGGAAGCTGGTCGCCATGCCATCGGAAACCGAAGGACGGAAACCCGATCGCACGATTGTCGACCTTTGCGGTCCGGGCATCGGCTACGCCGGGCCCGAAACCAAGAAAGGTTGCGCTCGCATCTTATGTAAGGAGCTGATAGGTTCCAAAGCCGATGAGGATAACCTTGTCAGTGAAATGAGGAAGTTGTGCCGGAATGACCTGCGCACGCCTGTGCTTTTCGTGGCATCGCTTTTGCGATCAGGCGCTGGTCCTGGAAGTAGAGAAGGGACTTGCGTGGGGGGTGAGAAACGTTCCGGTGGGAAATACAAAGTTTTCAGAAGTGTCTTGAAATCTCTCAAACGCCTGCTGAGGAAGTGTGCGGAATTTTCCGATGTCTATTTTTCGCTTGACATGCCTTCTTCATGTTCATGTTGGTCTTGGCCTGAATTGCATGCGCTTGTTTCAAGTGGCAAGGTGAGGAAGGTTAAGGTCAGTGATCATGTTGGTGCTACGGGCGAGGATGTAGGACGCAGGATTGTTTTCTCTACAGAAAATAAGACATTACGGGCCCCATATTTACAGCATTACTGTTTTTCATATTTTTGGTTTGCTTCAGATTTGAAGCAACATCACTCGTGCACACGATATCGTTATCCTCATATGCATATTCTTAAATAGGATACTTGTACGTGTATACCCATACATGTGCTTGTTTCAACTGTCGACGTGACTATAGAGCAGGAGGTTTGACTCACTTCTTAGCTGGTTTAGGCCCGAAGGGCGAGAACACTGCTACTAAGGGGAAGGCGCGGGGGGGGGGGGGGGGGGGGAAAAAATCTGGAGCCCCCCCCCCCCCCCCGCCAGATTTTTTTTTTTTTTTTGGTGGCTGCCCCCCCCCCCCGCGCGGGGACAGCAAAGCAAGCGACAGCCAACGCCATGGTGCGCCATACTGCGGGAGCGGACACCAACCAAGAGCCACATGATTTAAACCTGGTGTCCTTAGCCCTTAGCCCATGCAAGCCTCACTGCAAGTGAGTAGATACTCTATGCCGAATATTAAGATCAATAAGATTACAAATTTACCAGATAAACATCTATAGAATCTATAAAAGACCTCAGAGAGTTACTGCGTATAGAAAAGTCGATATCTGAGATTACAGCTCGCAAAGATGATAAACTATTTATGACTGATGACATCATATGACGAGGAGACCTTACATTAACATACATTCGATGGATGCGAACTCACGACACAACCACTGCCTGAGCAATGCCAGGTGGACAACCAGTTGAAGGGTCTGTCGTAGTCAAGTGATAACAACAATGCTTGATGTCGCATATGATGTGGTAGCATATGCGAGGACATACGGTCGGTATATATGCTGGATGTCAGATACATGTATGACCAGTCTCCTTGATAACATATACAACAAACACTGTCTTCGCCTTTCATTGACAGGTTGCGATGTAAGGAATCCGAATCCGACTATCTTATAGGTGCGTGAAAACGGGAGTTTGAATATTCCACTTGTGCGATGTTCGAGCAACATGGTGGGCTCTGTCGGGGAGTTTACAACTGGAAATCATTATTGGTCTATGTTCCTGTGATCAGGATTGGCTACTCGCAGTAATCTGAATATCACTATACCCAAACTGGCTAGATATGGAAACAATATATCTCATGAGCACGTCATGGTGAAGTATCAATCTTCACGTGAACCATGCGCATCATAGTATGATATGGCGTAACACACTCGTGCGCATGTACCATGAGGTGCTAGGGAGATGCCATACGAGCTTGGCAAGCTCACGGGATGCACGAGGACATCTAAGTCAAATCTCATAGTGAAGATATGTGTCATGAGATGCTGCCTGCATCTTGCGACCTATTCATACTTAGCTGTGACTGTTGTAACTTCATGCGAGATTGGGTTTATGTGTGAGAATAAGTCTCCGGGCTTTTAGAAACGTCTACCGAGGGGTTTAACCAATATGTGGTGCAATCCCGCTTGCCCGCGCGGCCGGAAGGCGTAAAGGGGGAAGCCCGAACGATGCGGGCATCTTATAAGGACACATACTGCGATGATCTATACGGATGGCTCAATATCATAATGATATGTTGAAGAAATTTCCTGGTGCTCTATGTTGATATGGCCATATTCAACACATAACATGCATTTTACATCGAAGGAATGTGGCGAATATCCTGTTCAGCTGCCGGTTGGGTGCCTCATTATGACGGCTCCATTACTCTTGCCAAAACTGGCATGCAGCTGCCAATGTAATCTGCCATGTTTACTTCCACCACAAGAGATACTTGACTTCTTGATGCTGTCACATATTAAAAAGTTGCTTTTAGGCATAGTATAGTTCTTATACGTTTTCTTGGGTAGCAGGATTTAGTTTACGGAGATATCCACAAGACACACGATGAAGTGCGTCATGGGCTTTAACAAGACCATATTAGAATGTTTGCGGCATACAGGTGCATTGCCTGCAGCATAGATATAACAAGCGGTATCGTTTACAGCTGATGACAATCGTATGTGCGTGTCGGTGTATGTTTGTTTGTGCATGTGCAAATAATGTGTTTTCACGGCAGTCAACTTATGACTAGATGGTATGAGCAACAAGACAGCGAAAATGATTAATATTGCAGGTGGATCTCCATATGTCTGCATATACAATAATGATAGCAAAGCACCAACTCCTTGAAAAGTATATTAACTCAATTATATCTTTATCCTTTGGGGGCTTGCGGGCTTCAGCCGCAATGATCACTAATCTGAATAAGCCAGCATTGTAGCTGTCAGGATGTATACAGCAACATCCATGCGATGATTGTCTTCGAAGGTCGTAGGTTTTCATTTTTCTGGGTTGGCTTCTGTGAGAAGCTATTGCAATTGAAATACACAATTCCGCACACACAGCTCCAAATACTGGACAAATTATTGGACTGGGAGCTCCGAAACAAGGACAACCAATGCAATAATAATCGCAAACAATAAATACGCTTTTGAAGGAGGTTGCACTAAACAAGCTAGCATTCATACGAAAAAACGGTATCGAAACTGAATGTAGCAAAGACATCTATGCACATATATGTATATATGTACATATGCAAATGGATCCGGTAACACGATCCAGTTGATCGCCTGCATGTATACAGCTTGAGACGGTGGGAACTGTTTGAGCAACCTGCCCGTGTGATGCCAAACTCAACTTGTCATGCTACAGTATATGCTGGACGTCTATATCCAAAATCATATGTTACCATGCACATGATGGGGCCTGCAAAAACCGGTAGGATATGTAAGCGATTCTTTACGTTGATATACAAAAGTTATATAGATTGACCGGTCTTGTACATCATTCAAAGGTGGAGAAATGCACGGTTTCGCAGACGCATTGTATCTCATTTATCTGCAAGATTATACTATGAGACACAAAGAACAACCACAATATTGAAGTGGCATTGATTTATCGGATAGTCTTCATGAGACTCCACAATGAAAGGTAGTCACACGTGCATCCCATGTTGATTGGAAAAGTATTTCCCATATCAGGCATCAAGAGCAACAGGGTTAAGTAAGCTTGAAAACCACTAGTATGCAAATTATGACGATTGTAAGTTTTTGTAATGAAAACTCGTAGAAAACAGCATTTTGACTGGAAAATATGGGGCCCGTAATGTCTTACACTCTCCATCTCTAACATGCCTGATGCGGAACGTTTGGAAGTTGACATGACTGACCATGCTAACCGAAGAGTGAAGAGCAGTTTGCGGCAGTGCAGTGATGTCACATGGCGGTCGATTGCGAAGCATGTTCGCAGCCTTGTTCGAGCTCATGCTAGGTCCAGACATGATGAAAATCAATCTGAAGGCACTGCATGGCAACGTCGGTATCTAGGTGCTGATGGAGGGGCTAATATACAGCCCCGACCAAGGAACAACTAAGGTCTGACCCGACGGATCGGTGAAAGGCGTCTCTTACAGAGGGCCGCACTCGTGCCGAGGGACGAGGTACGACAGTGTATGCTAGCGCTAGTATCCCTTTGGGAAACATCGAAGGTGTTTCGCTAGAAAACGTCGAAGGGGTTTTCCTCTGAAGCTAAACAGAACGAAGCTTGTCTGTTTGCTAGAGTGACTGCACATGGCCGGTGAAGCAGTGCTACGCCGTGGCCATTGTGCTGAAAGGCCCCCAGCTATTGGGGGGCAAATTTCGAGTGCGGGGTAGGAAGGGGAACAGGGCTAATTAGCCCTGCTTTAGGGTGTGCTGCCATGTCGGACAGCGACGCTACCCTGGCGCCAACCACGCCAGATGGTGCAGCAGCTACGGCCGCTGACTGCGCTACTGTGGTTGGGGATTCCCCGCCCCCGCTAAGTGCTTCGTGTCCCACCGAGGTCCCCACGCTCGGGGAGGACGATACCGCAAGGAGCCGGGGAGGTACCCTCGTGGGTCCCGCAGATTTTAGCTAGCGACCCGCAGCCCGAAGAGACGGGAGTGCTCTTCGAGGGCTGGGAGATGGAGGCAGAGCTAGAGGCGCAGGCTACGGTCCAACAGGAACGTAGGCGCACGCTAGACAGGGCCTACCGGCATCTCTCCAGCCAGGGGTTTGGGGTCTTGGAGTTGGCAGTGGTGGATCTAGACGACGCGG